TACTATATTCACAATTACCTCTTAATAAGACTAGTAATTGTTCTTAAATAATTTACATAATTCATCTTTATAATGTGTGAGTGGAACATACATATGTACATTTTCTAAATGTTCTTCTTTCTACTATCTGCCATTAGTCTTTAATCATGACTGACATTTCTCTGTGAGATTTCCATATACTATATCTAAAAGAATGTAAAGAAGGAAGTTCAGTCTATAATAGAAGACATGTTCTGCGAAATCTGAATTTATTCAGATGGGGATAGTTTAATTCTTTAAAATAACACAGGATAAGAAAGAAGATTCAAGAGTTTAAAGCATATAATATTTAATATTTATAGAAAGGATTATGATTTTTCCCTCATTTTTATTCTTTACACATGGTATATCACCATATTCTATGATAATAATGAGATTGGGGCATGAACTTGTACATGTCAAAAGAAAAATCTTATTCTTACTTTGCCAGATTAAAGTAAATGATATAGCCAAACAAAAGTGTATTTAAAGATGCAAAAGATACTTTCATGTATCTGTGATTGTTTATGCAATTTCCCCCAGGAATTTTTCATTTAAATCCATGGCTAGAGTTTAAAGGTAGGCAAATAGATGAAGAGATAGATAGATATAAGAAAGAATTGATGTAAAGAAACTATTTTCATGTAAACAAAATAACGTATGTTAACCAATGGTAATGTTTGGGAAAGACAAATGTTCTTCTCAAGGTATTCTTTCCATTTTCTCTTTGCAGGCATCTTCTAAATTACCCAAGCTCTCCATAACTTCTTGCTGCCATGTTTCCAATTATGTCAGAATAGTTTTGGCACAAGGGAAAAAAACAAGAAATAAAAAAGGAAGAAAAAAAAAGCTAAGATCATTGAGTTCTTCCTATGTGCTGCTCACTGGCTTCTTTATTCATAAAATCTCACCTAATCCTCCCTATCCCTCTTGAGACAGGTATTAGACTTACACTGAGAACTGTAGATAAGGAGATGAGGACATGGGATCACTTACACATCCTGCCAATGGCAGAACCAAGGCTTTAACTGAGGCAGTCTGAATTTTCAGCTCAGGCTCATCACTACTGTGCTCTCCACTGCTCTCCCAAATGACATGATATTAACTAGTATTTAATGTGATTGAAACAGGGGCACCTGGGTGGCTCGGTCAGTTAAGCATCTGACTTTGGCTCAGGTCATGATCTCACGGCCCGTGAGTTCGAGCCCCGCGTTGGGCTCTGTGCTGACGGCTCAGAGCCTGGAGCCTGTTTCAGATTCTGTGTCTCCCTCTCTCTCTGCCCCTCCCCTGTTCATGCTCTGTCTCTCTCTGTCTCAAAAATAAATAAACGTTAAAAAAAAATTAAAAAAAATAGAATTAATTAATGTGATTGAAACAACAGATCATCAGTTAATAAGGAATGTTCCACCATAAGCTCCTACTGCCTCTCATCTCACTGAATAATGGGAAGTTCCTTGGGATTGATATTCAGTGGATGATATCTGGATGGTTTAATATCTGGTTTTGAATTTTGTACCTTGTATGTGAAGGTAAACCATTTAGACCAAGCAATAAACAATGTAAAGATTTATCTACATAATCCTAGATTTCATATACTTGGCCTGCTCATATTTTTTTCACTGTGTTTAAATAACTTCAGTACTTAGGTCTGTGCTACTTGTAGTTGAATGGAAGTGTTAATTCATGTCAGAAAAACTTCAGTCAAGAATATGACTACACTTATAAACAGACCACACGAAATCTGAATTTTTCACTCCAGTGCAATGGTCGTCATGCGGATAGGCACAGTTTATACATTCTTTGTGAATCTATTTCTCAGCCTACACTTTAAGACAGACAGAACATTTTCACAATGTTATCTGAATATAAAATTATATAAAACTGTAAACATTCAGCCATGAAAATAATGCCATTGTCAAACACAATATAATTAATGACCGTAACAAATCTTAAGTAAGTTGCTTGGAGTGTGTGGCATTTTGGTATTTCTTGGTAAAAAACTATAATTTCCTTCTTCTTCAGCACTTTTGAATATAATTTGGGGAATGGTTAATCTTTGAGACAATGCATTCTGGACTAGGGTGGACTAGGAGTTAATCCTCTTAGGTTCCCCTACACCAAAAATGAATTATACAATGTATGAAGTTTGTTTTCTATTTCTATGTGAATAATACTTTTCAGAAAAAAATATTTCAAATTGCTCTTAGATATGTGTAGTCACTCTTTATAGTTCAAAACTGATGACTTTTTCTCTCTGTATTGTAGGTCAATATGTCCTACTTCCCCTTTTTTTTCTTTCCTATATATACCATTTCTATAATTGTATGATGTTTGTGATCTAACTTGAAAACGTGCTCTTTTGGCAAACATTTTTTGATTTAGCCTAGAATATGTATGTCTAAGTATTAGCTTATAGACCATTCTCTAGTCTTTTTATATTTGGACCTTTGTTTAAAAAATAATTTTTCCTCATTGTTTATCAAATAATACCCAGTGTTCAAAGCTCTCAATGATTTAACTCAAACATATCTATCTGACCATCTGGCCTACTATGCCCCTTGCTGTATCCTACACTCTAAACTGGACCATTTGCCTAACCTTTGACCTCTGCTTTGTGTTTGGTTTCCTGTAGTCCCCATCGCCTGAATGGTTTTTCCAGACGTTGCCATTGCCCCAATCATACCCATACCCAAAGGTCCATCTCAAATTTCACCTTCTCTCTAGCCAGAAGTAATGTTTTCCTTCTCTGAATGAAATTCATCTATAGCCTCATAATATTGTAGTGCTAGTAATGGCTAACAGCGTACTTACTATGAGCCAGTCACTGTTCTAAGCAATTTACATGTAGTAACAGATTTAATCCTCACAGTAACTCTATGAAATAGGTACTACTATTATTACCATTATTTGGATGAGGAAACTGAGGCACAGAGGGGTAAGGTAGTAGATCCAGGGTTTGCAACTAGGGCCCTGGCTCCTGAGTTCATGTTCCTAGCTACTATGGTCCTTTGTATACTTCCCTATGGTATCTACGACATTCTATTTTATACACTTTATTGTGCACATTTTCTCACTTCTGCTGTAACTATAGAATAGCTTCCAGTTCCAAGATTCAATGATTCTGTTTTTATCGGCTTAATTTTGCTGGTTCAAGCAAACATAACTGTAAACCTGAATCATACCACTGCACTCCTCTCCTTGCAGTCGCTATTCCTGCTCCATTGCTGGAGCTCAGTTTTATTTAGTTGGAAAAACCTACATTTGGTACATATGGTGCTTTTCTCCAAAAAGTAACACACTTCCTCAAGAGGGCTCTATCAATTTTCTATTGAAGAAAATAGAACTGACAACATAAACAGCCTCTGTTTACTGGATGCTTGCTTTGTATCAGTATTTGGCTATTTTTCAGACAGTACCTAATTGAACCACAGCCATATGGTGAGGCGGTTTTAACTATCTCAGAAAGGTCAAGGAATTTTTTTTTTAATTTTTAAAATATATTTATTTATTTTTGAGAGAGACAGAATGTGAGGGGCAGAGAGAGAGGGAGACACAGATTCCAAAGCAGGCTCCAGGCTCTGAGCTGTGAGCACAGAGCCCAATGCAGGGCCTGAACCCATGAATCATGAGATCATGACCTGAGCCAAAGTTAGATGCCCAATCGACTGACCCACCCAGGCACCCCAAGGTCAAGGAAATTCTTAAGTTCATATGGGTAATGACAGAATCAGTTTACCACTTAGGTCTGTTTACTTAAACACTAGGCTTTAGGCCTCTCCTAGTATTATTATACAGATATACTTGAAGATTAAGTAGATACACTTACCACGCTTAATTCTGCCCTATGGTTCACCTAACTGAAACCTCCACCCTCCTGCCACAGGGGTGAGTTTTCCTTTGCCATGCCTCACTCTTTTTGTTACACTGTTGTGGCTAATGCTCTAAGCTACATAGTGACTGATATGAAGGCTTCCCAATATGATAGGTCATTGGTTCTCAACTAGGGGAGATTTTTGTACCTCTCCCCACACAGGGGACATATAGCAATGTCCAGCGACATTTTTAGTTATCATAATTGCAGGGGGTGGGGGGGAGGCCAGGGATGCTGTTAAACATCCTATAATACATAGGACATCCCCCACAACAAAGAGTTGTCCAGCCCAAGATGTCACTAGTGTGGATGTTGAGAAACTCTGTGTGAAGCTGAAATTAGAATGCCATATTAAACATATTAGAGGTGGAGCCATGGAATAGAGGGGACTGGGAAAAATAATACAATAAAGAAAGAGGGATCTTGGTTGGGTTAGGATAATAATATGACATAAACTGAAGAGTTTGATGAACTTAACTCTGTATATGAGATTAAACAATAACAGCAACAATGACAGAAGAAAAGAACCAGAGAAATTGAAATCTGAAGTAATTACTGATCCTCTGAGAACCTTAATACCTACTTTCAGAATAATTCAGGTTTTTCTGACTATGATCCTTCCCGCACCCAGCCTCTAAGAACGGAGATGAGAAAATGGGCAGAGAGAACAGCCATAACCTGGGATACAATACCCATGCATAATCTGGGAACATTCTTTCTGTGGTCAGCAACAGAACACACCCTCTCCCACTTTATAATCACCAGTTCTTTGTCCTTGGGTTGGATAAATTAGTCCTTCAGCATGGTTCTGGGTTTTTGAAATTGAGGTTCCTACTTGCTACTGGAAGTAAGGTCACACAATGGACTAAGTCAGAAAATGTAGCCTAAAAGGCCCATGGCCGGTATCTCAACCTGAACTTCAAGAAACAGGGTTGTGCTATGAGCTGTATTTCCTGACAAGGCAGTGTATAGGAAATGTAATTACAACTAGTACTGTATTACAGTAGCTTAAAAAACAAATGACAGCTGGTATTGATATTCTCTGTGACGACAACCCTTGTGTAAACTACCCAGAAGAAAACGCATGAGTACGTATTTTTAAAAAACTTACAATATATGGTAGGCATAATGATGTCACTTTCCATCTCACTGACAGGATTCTTCACCAGGCAAGTGTAATTCCCGATGTCTTCTTTGGTCACTGGAGCAATATGAAGAGTGTTGTTTTGGAGAGAAAAGGAGGTGGTAGAGCTGGTACGGACAGGTCTTTTGTTTTTTAGCCACTGGTAAGCCACCCGGGTGCCCTCTTCCACGAGGCATGTCAGGGTCATGTTCCCCACATACTCCACGGCGCCAGAGGAAGGCTGAATCTGTACCACTGGCTTTGTGACAGGATCTGCAATATCAAAAGAGACAAAAGTGATTTTTGCCACCACAGAGTTATAATACAAATCCGTGCGGTCTTTCAAATACCAAATCCTGGGGAAATGAATCTAAAATTTTACATTTTGTAGATGTGGACGGTTCAGAAGATAAAGAAGAATAAAAAACTAATGGAAAAATGCAAAGTGATAAAATACAAAAATATCATTTATACCAGAAATAGCCAAATTCTAGAATGTACTTTTCAAGGATTTTCTCACGAAAACCTTTACTTTATAGATAATGCAGTTAGTGTAGAGAACACCAGCTTCCTTATTTCCTGTGCATTGTACTGTCTCCAACACCATAAAGGTATATATACTCTCACAGGCAAATTTTAACAAGATATTTCCCTCTTTTTGGTTTGTTCTAATATCTCAAGAGCAGCTGGTTGGGATAGATGAACCTAAATCTTTATCCACTATCTGAAAATATAAAGCTCAGATACATTATACTTGTGGAATATTGAGGGAAAGTTTTAGAGAATCACATATTCACCACTTACTTTTCTTTCTTTGTGAGTGAACTAATTACGTTTTAACTGCTGTGGAATTGCAACATTATGTTAGCCACTTTACCAAAACCAAAGCCTACATTTCAACACTGACTCAGTTTGAAAATAGGATAAAATGTGTTATTGCAATTACATCCCATTAGAGACATAAAAGACAAATTCAATAGTGATTCCTGTTGGAACTTCAAGTCATAGGAAAATAGTTTCATGTCATGAATCTGGTACATAGTATTATTTGTCAAATGAACACATTTCCAAGAATGAGCAAATATTTCCTCCCTTGGTTTTCACTCTAAAATTGTTGGGTAAAGGTTGGCATTATATAAGTATCCACAAATACTTTCAGTAAATTTCACTAATCTTTGAGGTTGTTGGTTCTGTTTGATACAGGACAGTGACTTGCCCAGTTACACAGCAGTCAGTGACAAAATGAAGAGAGCTGCATATCTGGTTGTGTTTCTTTTCTGCATTTTGGAGAGATATGCATTTCATAATCTTCCATGCATCATCACAGGACACAGAGAGAATGAGATGGTATATAAGTGAGAAATGATTGACTCTAATGTTTAGATTTCAATTTGCTATCAAGCTTTAAATTGGGGTTGATGCATCTCTGCAGGTAAATTTCTCTTGACTCATGCTCACATTTTTCTATACGGAGAAATGTGCAGTAGAAAACAGACAGACCCAATCCTTCAGCCTAGAGAATATAGGAGAAAATGAAAAATAAGGAGAAAGGTGGTTGAAACAGTTTGCAGGGGACCCGAGTAGCTCTGAAGCCTCTAGCCTTTCTTAAGATGAGGACAACTGAATTTGTCCATTCAATTTAAACTTTTTATTATTTTTGCTTTTATTTTAAATTTTTTTTTTTTCAACGTTTATTTATTTTTGGGACAGAGAGAGACAGAGCATGAACGGGGGAGGGGCAGAGAGAGAGGGAGACACAGAATCGGAAACAGGCTCCAGGCTCTGAGCCATCAGCCCAGAGCCTGACGCGGGGCTCGAACTCCCGGACCGCGAGATCGTGACCTGGCTGAAGTCGGACGCTCAACCGACTGCGCCACCCAGGCGCCCCTTTGCTTTTATTTTAGAGAGCAAGTGAGCAAGGGAGAGGGGCAGAGGGAAAGAGGCAGAGAATCCTAAGCAGGTTCCATACCCAGTGCACAGCCCAATTTGGGGCTCAATCCTATGACCCTGGGATCATGACTTGCACTGAAATCAAGAGTCAGATGCTCAACCAAGTGAGCCACCCAGGTGCCCCCAGTTTAGTCTTTTATAGTTCCTGGTAAGAACAAAGGATGTGGATGGAATAGCTTTTCTTTACATTATTATGATTAAAAAAGAAAAATGAGTTGTGTATATCTATTACTTAGGAAAAGCTTATGTTTTACTTAGGAAAAGCTTATCTCTCTGTGTGGAAATAGATGTGGTATGGCATAAGTCAAATAAGTAATGTCAAGGTCTTATATGGGGAGAACCAATCAGAATAGACTGTGATCATAACACCTGCCTTAAAGAGTGTGACTCAGATGTGGAAGTTTCCTGGGAAGATTTTTTTACATAGATAGACCCTAAACCCCTGATATGATTTTTTTAGTTGCATTTCCCTAAACAGATCCAATTTACTATATATTAAAAAGTAATGGATATTCCATTAAGTTTTAGGGAGAGATAGGATACTACTCAGGAGAATTTCATGAACATTGTCTCCCTTTTCTCTTTTCATAGTTGCTCTGTAGGCATTTGCTTTCACATCCTGTGCCTTTGCTTCCTTGCAGTATCTCTGGTCTCCACTCATTTACCCCATGCACACTTACTGAGTGCCTACTAATGGCCAGTATCAGTTTTTAGGTACTGAGGACAAAGCTGTAAACAATAAAAGGTCCCTGTTCCCATGGACCTCATGTTCTAGGGGAAGGAGAGAAATAATAATCAAATAAAATCTAGGTGGAAATAAGTGCTATGAAAAGAAGAAAGCAGAACTCAAGATAGATAGTCTCTCTCTCTCTCTCTCTCTCTCTCTCTCTCTCTCTCTCTCTCTCTCTCTCCTGTTTGGAGGAATGAGGTTATACTTTCTATAAGGTGGTCAGGAAAACCTTCACAGATAAAGTGACATTTTGGCTGGGACCTAAAGGAAATAGAGGAGGGAACCATGCTATTATCTAAGAGAAAAGCAATCTAAGTAGATCGAATAGCAAGTACAAAGGCCCTGACTTATAAGGCCCTGACATCTACAAAATGTTTGTCCTGTGATAGGAAGAGCTCTGAGGCCAGTGTGGTCAGAACAGAGTGAGTGAGGGGGAAGGGAGGTAGGAAATGGAATCAGAGATGTTGGGTATGCTGCGGGGGCGGGGGGTGGGTAGTCATGTGGGCCCTGTAGGATGTTGTTAGTACTTTGGCTCTTATTCTAATTGAGACAGAAAACCATGGGAGGATTTTAAGTGTCAGGAGGCTGGAGTGTAGGCAGAGAGACCAGGTAGCAGGCTATTAGGGATAGTCCAGGTCAGAGCTGGTGGTGCGGTTGAAAGGGGTGGGAGAGGGGGTAATAAGAAGTAACTGAACTTTACATTTTGAAGGTAAAGCCTACAGAGTTATTAACTTCTTGCCTAGATGTGGGATACGAGAGAAAGAGGGGGTCAATGGTGATGCAAAGTTTTGTCCTGAGCAACTGATAGAATGGAGTTAGTACTTACTAAAATGGAGGGCATTTTAAATACTAACCTGTTAAATAATCAGGTTTAAGGGGAGACATCAGAAGCTGTGATTTGGACACTGTATATTTGGGGTACGCTACTTATATACCTCATTAAGGAAAATAGATGTGTGAAATTTAGCTGATTCTACATTCCCTCAGAGGATTATTTCCAGCAATTTCTATTGTTCCTTAAGTATGGTCCTTGAGCAAGTCTCATCCTCCCGCAAACTGTGTGCCAAAATAGAATGTTCATGTGACAAAGAGGGCTCTTCCTAGAGCGTGTTCTGACACTGAGAAAATAAAATTTCCTCCATATTATTATATCAGTGACTTTATCCTTGATAGTTTCCAGGCAAACAAATAATAAGTTCTACTCATTGCTTGATTACCTTTAGTTGGGCACTGTGTATATATTTCACATGCGTATACTTTACATGTGCCTCATGAGATAGATAATGTAATTTGTACCTGAAACACTGAGGCCTTGGGGGTTAATTAATTGCCCAAAGTTGCAGAGCCAGGACCTAAAGCCCACATGGTCTAATCTCCTGAGCTGTTACTAACTGCCATGCTACCCAGCTGCCCACATCACTGATAGTGGACTCACCATCAACGGTGACTTGTATCTTCTGACTGGCTGAGAGAGTTCCATTTCCCTGAATGTTGACCTTCACGATGTAATTGCCTTCATCAGTGAATTGCAGTGGGTTGATAAGCAGAGATGCATTGGGTGGCATCATGGTGAACTTGTGTTGGTATTCCAAGTCGGGAACCACAGACTCATTCACAGAGCCCAGTAAATATTTGGGCATTGTGTGGGGTCTCTCAAACAGCCATATGATCTGGATGTCTGATGCTGGAGTGTGGAATCCATAGTGCACGGGGAGGTAGAGGGCCTGACCCCTGATGCCATGAACGGTGCGTGATGGCACTGTCACTTTCAGCCCCAAGCAAGCGCCTGCTGTGAAGGAAAGGAAAGTTGTAATGATCCTGAGCCACATTTCACAATCTAAGGGGCAATACAGAGAAAACCTGATTAGGTGATAATGCTTACAAAGGAGAGAGGCTTCTAGGTACTGACCATTCTAGTACCTGTTACCTGGAGAGGCAAATATTTGTCTCTCAAACCTTCTGCAATTTTAAAAACCCCACCCAAAGACTATGTTGATTGAGTGATTGAGTGTTGATTGAGTTGATTGAAGGAAAAGCAGAAGTTATTATCTTTGAGAAAAGGAGAACTGGGAAAGATTATTAGTTCTAAAGTCCAATGACACCTCTAGAATTATGAAACTGTGTTTGATTCATATTATATCATAATGAAACTATGTGATTCAAGAAACATTGAGGGGCTACTTCCTCCTCAGAATCTCCCTCCAAAGTCTTCTGAAATGGGTTCTAGTCTATTATTGGAAGTTTTAGCCTTTAGCCAAAGCCTTGTCACATGGAAATATCCCAAGAAGAGTGGCATGAAGCCATTACCAGTTATGATCAATAATTCTTGCCCAGAAACAGGAACCTGGTGTGTGTTTGAGGAACAGCAAGAGGCAGGAGCAGAGGGAACAGAGTGGAGGAGGAGTGTGGTAGGACATGAGGTCAGCAAGGTGGTTGGGGCCAGATCAGGCGGTGTCTCATGGTCACAGCAAGCACTTTGGCACTTTTTCCGAGTGAGATGGGGATTAAACTGGAGTTTTGTGAGCAGACAGGGATATGATATTTCTCCTTCTTCTTGACTTCCTCCTTCTCCTCTTCCTGCTCCTCCCTCTTCCTCCTTCTCCTTCTCCTCCTTCTCCTTCTTCTAGATATACTCTAGCAGCTGTGAGAAAAGACTGAGATAGGGGCAAGAGCAGGAGCAGGGAGACCACTTAGGAGGTGACTGCAATAAAGTAGGCAAGAGATATTTGTACTGTAGACTAGTATGGTAGTAAAAGGTATTGTGAGAAAGGCTGGTGATGCTAACAGGATTTGATGGCACATTGGGGTGAAATACAAGAAATAAAGAAGAGTCAAGAATGAGTCCAAGGTTGTTGATATGATCAACTGGAAGAATGGATGTCATTTGTTAATGGGCAACTAATAAATTAACCATGGGGAAGACTGAGGAGAATAGACTTTTGGTGGGGGGGCGCAAATTGGGAGTCAGTTTTGGATATGTTCATTTTAGAAGCCCATTTGACATACAAGAGGCAATACTGAAAGGATATACTGGGAATGAAAGCTTGATTAATGTGGGTTTAAGAGAGAATGAGGGCCTGGAGGACTTGGGGGGATGGAGTTCTGCTAATGCGAGGCCCTGGCTCCCAGCATCCTGGCTGCCTGAGTTGTTTGGGCCCATGCACTCACTGCTACATCTGCAGGTTTCTTCCTATTTTCTGGCACCTGGAAATTTCCACACCTTTACCTTGAGCCATGATATACATTTTTAAATGTTATGTAGCACTTCTGTGTGTTTGCAATTGAGAAGAGACTCCTTAGTTCAGACTACCATGTTGCTAGAATCCTAATTAAAAGCTCTTTGCTTCAACATCCTCATTTTATTTTTTAAATATATTTTTTTTATTTTAGAGAGAGAGAGAGAGAGAGAACAGGGGAGAGGGGCAGAGGGAGAGAGAGAGAATCTCAAGTAGGCTTCATGCTCAGCAGAGAGCCCAAGGAAGGGCTTGATCCCAGTACCCTGGGATTAAGACCTGAGCCAAAATCAAAAGTCAGACACTTAACTGACTGAGCCACCCAGGCACCCCACAACATCCTCATTTTTTCTTAAATGTTTATTTTTGAGGGAGAGAGAGAGAAAAAGAGAGAGAGCGAGAGAGCGAGCGGGGGAGGGGCAGAGAGAGAGGATGGTACAGAATACAAAGCAGGCTCCAGGCTCTGAGCTGTCAGCACAGAGCCCAA